AAGGACGGTTAGGAGCCACAGAAAAAAAAAAGTATCGTTCGTACAAAGTAAGAAGCTCCCAAAAAATTGATCCTGAGGCGAATGGATTTTTGTGAAACTGTCATTAATAAGGCAAATGAAAATCAAGATTTTCTTAGAAAAATTGTCTTTACAGATGAGTCGACATTTTAACTCCATGGTCGACATAATCCTAGTCACACCCGTTATTGGTCTAAGGAGAATTTACACAGGTATTTTGAGCTTAGAGCCCAGCGTCGTCAAAAGGTAACTGTCTGGAGCGGTTTTTGTGGATAACATATTATTGGGACGTACTTCATGGACGCTAACTTAACTGGTCCAAAATATTTGGATCATTTGCAACGGGCCAACGGCAGATAATTCCAGAAATTGAAAGATTATCTGGTCCTATAGATTTAATGAGATATGGTATCAATAAGATGGATGTCCAGCCCATAATACGGGTTTCATTCTGGACCATTTGAATAATACTTTTCCGAACCGTCTCATTGCTGGGTCGAGAGCTACAATACTGTGACGCTCTCCCGATCTTGCACCCAACGATTATTTTCTCTGGGGTTATTGCAACTCAAAAATGTATGGTTTTCAGGAGAATCGCGCCGTGAACCTTAAGCAGCTGCGTTTCAAAATTCGAGAAATATATCTAACTGTCACCCCTGTGATGCTAAATAATATTCGTAGAGCCTTCTATGATCGTTTAGGTCATTGTTTAGTTCAAGAAGGTGCACTGGGACTGTTTGAACATTTGCTACATTGAAGTGCAAATGGTAATCGAGCCAGGTTTTTGGGGTCAAAACTAGAATTTTTGTTTTTATTTTACCTAATTTTTTTTCTATTTTTTATGTTGAATATATTTTTAGTTTTTCCTGGATGGCTTTTTTAAAATACATGTTTTTTTTCCATAGATTATTGTTTCGGTTCCAAAAAAAATCTATCTATACACGCCGTTTAATAATTATAAGGACCTAAGTGATGCTCGACGATACATCTAAAAGCACGGTCTAGATGCTACGTTTTGCATCAAGTTTTGTCTGCACAGTTCAACACGTGATCAGGTATCAGTAACGTAACGTCTGGACCGGGCTTAAGTCTGTAAAATCATAAAACGTACTGATGTGAACCATGGTTTATGAACGTCAAAGTCATCGAAAAAACGACAGCGCACCGACAGCGACAGGTGTTCAGACGGCTGCGGACGATCGTAAATCCGTCAAGTTGGATCCTATATACCTAGTAGCCTGCCCCTTACTGTATACGTTATATTTGTTGTTTATGTACCTACCTAAATATGTTGTGCAAATTGAAAATTGTGTTCGATGTTCGTTCTCCTTTTGACTTTCCATTCGTTTCCAAATAATTTGCGGATTAAATTATCCTGCTTTATTAAAAGACAGCTTTTTGAATGGCTGGATCGGATTATTTAATTGAAAGAAATGTTATTGATGCCCTCGAAGAATTTTGGTTGATGTGCCTACTTTGCTCCAATGTTTCTATTTTTTTTTAGCTCCTGAAAGCTGAATTTTCCTGATTTTTGGTTTTGGAAATTCCTCCATGAAGCTAATTGTTCAGCAGACACAAACCCTCCACAAACCATGATTGTTAGTTAACGTTATAAAAAACAAGGACGTTCAAGGAAATCCCAACGATTAGGTGCACAAAATTTATTTCAAGATCTATACCAACAGAATAGACTAAATAATACTTGATAAACTCAATGGATAAACTCAATAAACAGCCACAAAATACAAAAAAGAATTAGCCTATCCAAAACACGTAACTTTGACAAGCAAAATATGGCCGGCAGGAGGAACACGAACTACTATTCACATACACTATTTAAATACGCTATTTCTAACATAAATGCAACAGTTTTAAATATAACAACGTAGATAATTCACAATTAGCAACTCATAACACCATTTGATAACACCTAAACAAAGAATTGTTGTGTGCCTCTTGGCAGACATTTTCATTTAAGTTTGACAGCATCTTGGATAGTCTATAGGTTAACAGCAAAAGTAGGGAGTGTTATGGTATTTTTAAAAAGCCAAATGTCAAAAAATACCTCTTCGTTTTTGTATCGGTCGAAATGGCTATTACCAAATACTCGAATTTGCGACGTTGCCAACGCAAATGATACTCGTATACGATATCATTTTCGAAGGGCCTTCAAAAATACGCATTTTAGTTCGTACACGACTTTTTTCATTCGAATTAGATCGCATGCGAAAGAATTCGCATGGTTTCGAAAATACGACCCCGGATAAGCTTGTCCGGGAAAGACACTTTGCACAAGTGTTAGGAACAATACTTTTTCTACGAGTGTCTTAGAAATTGAATTTGATTTGTTAAAATAGTAAAAACTAAGGGTGGGTTCCGTTGTCAACCTTGGTTACGGTTTCCCGTTCCGTAATGTCTGGTTCCTGAAAAACCGGTCTATACGGAACGCGGTTGGTTATGTCAAACATGTCACCGAGGCAACCGGCTTTTTCGAACTGTCAATTGTCAATTCTTTCTCTTTTGCTCCGTTTTTCCGGTTGGTTGTTTGTTGTTTGGTTTGTTTATCCTATGCTATGCTGTTGCTAATTCATTTGTGCAAATTTTTGTGAGAATTTCATACATCTGTCAAAACTGGTATTCCAACAATAAATTGACATGTTTTGATTGTTGATTTGAACCAATCAGATTGTAATTACGCGATAATTTGCACTAGTGCAAATTATCAGATAGTTGCATACTAACTGGTGCGAAAACTGGTGTTTTGACATTTTTTGACAAAAAATTTAAATTTTTGAACTCGTGCAATGGAAATATATTTATAATTTTCGACAAATTTGCACTCGTGCGTTTTTAACTGAAAAAGGCACTCGTGCACTACGTGCACTCGTGCTCTTTTTCAACTAAAAATGCATTCGGGCAAATTTCCCAAAAATTATCAATAATTTCCATTGCACTAGTTATATTACTAATGATAATTGTGAGTTTAAGTTAACGTAGGTAAATTTACCAATTTCAATAATGGAAGAAAAGGATACGAGAAATGTGAGGCCTATTAAACTTGTCATTACTAACTTTTTAAAAATTTGGAAGTGACACTTTACCTGTGTCACTTCCCTCTTCGATTTCCCTCACCGATTTCCCTATTCGACTTCCCTCATCGATTTCCCTCACTCTAATTTATTTACCTTTGCTGGCAACAATGAGAACATGTCAGGTAAAAACGTCAAAACAGTGAATCACACATTTTGGCATGTTTGTTTGATTTTTTTAATATTAAAAAAATCGATTGACTAATCATAATTGTTGGTGTGCTTGCAAATAATAGTTATTTATACACCAAGAGAGTTAAATGAATGTTTATTCATGAGAAGAAAGTTTAACCCACGAGCCTAGCGAGTGGGTTAATTTTCTTCGAATGAATAAACATTTTAACTCACGTGATGTATACAAAATTTTATCCCATTTTAGATAGATAGACATTCCGAAAATAAGGTACTTAATAGGAATCAAATTATAAAAAGAATTCATATAGCGAGCGCATATCAAATATTGAAACTGGTAGTTGCTAGGGTATAACTAGTTGTTTGTATTTGTAGCAGATTTTTATACTGGCAGAGTGACTTAAAGACCGAGAGTGAGTTAAAAATATTTTAAGTCACTCAGGTGATAAACGTCTACTCACCTTTGTTATTATGCGTTCAATAATGTCATTTTTAAACGTCAAAATGGGATAAAATAGTATACAAACTTCGGAGGAAAGTTTTCATTTCTGTCTCGAGATTAATAGTCAATCTCGACGCTTCGCGTCTAAATTGACTATATAAATCTCTCGACAGTAATGAAACACTTCCCTACTCGGTATGTAATATACTATTACTACTTCCAACATTTATTTATAGGTTCTAGAAAACAATACAAAATTGAATTGCGGGCATTGTTCAAGGACCATGGGGACCTTGAAGGAAGTGATTGACAAAGATTTGGCCCATGGACATGTTTGTTTACTCAAGGCCCAAGATGTCGTGATAGATTTTGAAAAGAAAACAGTTTCAGCCCAGAAAAAGAAAATGGATACTTGTCAGCCGCAGCCTGTAGCAGGTTGTTCTTATAAGACTTATGAATCTTCACTGAGTGCTGCACATATTTCCCAGGATTCTGGAGAGGAACCCCTTTGTTTGGACGACTCCATCTCGGATATGAACAATTTTAATACCGAGATCTGTGGTACCGAGAAACAGATATCAAAAACCCAAGCTAGGGTGTTAGCCGCTTGTGTGCCCAGACAATTTTCGCCGCCTTCTTACTCCCATCTAAAGTACAAAACTTTAACGCATGAGGATCGTGGTAAAGATGAAGGAAGGACCATACAAAAGGGAGACATGCATCTGTAGGGACGTCACAAATATTTGCCAAAACGTGACGCGTCTTCCAGATCACTCTACATTCTTGTCCAAATATCAGACCGCCGCCTAAGAAATTTCACTTCAAAAAATCCAGTATTCATAAGGGTACCCCCTCTGAAATAAGGTACTTAATAGGAATCAAATTATAAAAAGAATTCATATAGCGAGCGCATATCAAATATTGAAACTGGTAGTTGCTAGGGTATAACTAGTTGTTTGTATTTGTAGCAGATTTTTATACTGGCAGAGTGACTTAAAGACCGAGAGTGAGTTAAAAATATTTTAAGTCACTCAGGTGATAAACGTCTACTCACCTTTGTTATTATGCGTTCAATAATGTCATTTTTAAACGTCAAAATGGGATAAAATAGTATACAAACTTCGGAGGAAAGTTTTCATTTCTGTCTCGAGATTAATAGTCAATCTCGACGCTTCGCGTCTAAATTGACTATATAAATCTCTCGACAGTAATGAAACACTTCCCTACTCGGTATGTAATATACTATTACTACTTCCAACATTTATTTATAGGTTCTAGAAAACAATACAAAATTGAATTGCGGGCATTGTTCAAGGACCATGGGGACCTTGAAGGAAGTGATTGACAAAGATTTGGCCCATGGACATGTTTGTTTACTCAAGGCCCAAGATGTCGTGATAGATTTTGAAAAGAAAACAGTTTCAGCCCAGAAAAAGAAAATGGATACTTGTCAGCCGCAGCCTGTAGCAGGTTGTTCTTATAAGACTTATGAATCTTCACTGAGTGCTGCACATATTTCCCAGGATTCTGGAGAGGAACCCCTTTGTTTGGACGACTCCATCTCGGATATGAACAATTTTAATACCGAGATCTGTGGTACCGAGAAACAGATATCAAAAACCCAAGCAAACCATGATGAAGTGCAGGCTTTGGTGCAGCCTTTATTATCAAATATAACTCGGGAAATACAGTGGAGTGATGGGTCTATTATGCTGCTAATTGCGGCATATAAAGATTCGAGAGAAAAGTTTAGCTCCCCGCTTTATAATAAAAAAAAAGTGTGGGAGTTAATCAGCCAATCTTTGGCTAAGCAGGGAGTTTTTAAAAGTGCCACAGAATGCGACGAGAAGTGGAGGAACCTAAAGAAACATTATGATAAAATTTTGACGGAGAGAAACATGACTGGAAACTCGGCCATATTTTGGAGATTTTTTGAAGATTTTCAGGAAATATATTTCAGAGACCCTAGATTTCAACCTGTGGCCACTTGTTCTAGTAGTGGTGGTTACAAAAGGAGAGCAGACTCCGAAAATTCTGATGAGAATTCCGCTTGTGGAAGTAAATCATTATTTGAAAAAAAAAAAGGGTAAGAGCTGTTTCTGCTTTAGAGTTAGATGTGAGAAAACAAAAAAGACATGACGAAAAAATGCAACTCAAGCGAGAAATGTTTAACTGGTTCAAAGATAATTACAAAAAAAACTGATAACAGTGATAACTAGTAAATAATGTTGTTTTGTGATTTTGCCAATGTGTTAATTTGAGTTCATAGGTTTATATGTATATATGTTTGGTTATAGAGTAAAAAGCACTTGAGCTGCCATTTTCCTATTTTTATGCACTTAGGGATTAAAAGTAAAAGCACCCTTTTAATCCCTGTTTTTAGAGAGTAAAGTGAGTCTTTTAATCCCTGGGATTAAATTTCCCTTTGTTTCCTAGGGATTAAATGCAACAGGGATTAAAAGTACCCTTTTATTCCCTGTTTTATTTAGTCCCTGGAAAAAAAGTAAAGTGCATAAAATAGTGTTACACCTCAGGACTAAAGTGTTTTTCAATCCCAAATGTAATTTTTGGTGGACGGGGAAACCAGTTAGTTTTTTTTTTTTTTTTCATTTTAGTTCATAGGTTTACTGATTGGTTTTTGTATTTCCCAAAGAATATGTATATAATATGTTTCATTATAGAGTTTATATAGATATATATACAGTGTCATTACTTAAGTGTGCAACATATGGGATTTTTTTTTAGTAATAGCACAATCAAAATACAAACAAGGCCAAATGTTGGTGCATGTCTGATAATCATATTAGGTGCACTTAGAATGGTTGCAAGTCAAACAGCATACAGGGTGGCTCAAAAAATTTCAAAATTCTACTAATATTTACTTTATCAAAATAAAACTTTTGCACTTTAAGGAGAGTTTTTTTAATATGGCTATTATCATTAGTAATGTTTCAACTTATTAAAAAAAAAAATCGACATTTTAAAGTTGTGTTGAATATCATTGCAACAAACATGAATTTTGTGATTCCATAAAAAATTAAAAATCTAAGTTAATTTTACAAATATGCTTGAATTTGAACAAAGTTATGTAAAATTGATTTGATTTTAATTAATTTTTTAAAATCTCAAGGGCGGAAATAAAAAATAAAAATTATAGATTTTTTTCGAAAGAAAATAAAAAAAATCTTAGGAGGCCATGATTTGGTATTTAGGCGTAACTTTTAATTTCAAACAACTTTTCTTTATAACATTTTGCTGGAAAAGCTTGTCATAGATGCTTTGAACAGCAAACTTGATTGATATCAGGAAAACAAAACAAAAATGGCAGTGGGAAAGTAATCTTAAGTGCACCAGGGCCGGTAATCTTGTTTTCGAATACGCTCACTGCTTTTTAGTTCCTTGGCACTTTTAATGTGAATTCACATTAAAAGTGCCAAGCGACTCAAAAGCGGTGAGCGTTTTCGAGGACGAGAATACCGATGGTATGTTCATATTGAAAACTAGAGTATTAATATCAGGCATTGATTAAAACTAATAAGTAGGAAGTAGATAATATTGATTTGTTGAATGTTTATCCTTTTTCGAATGCGTTGATTTAAAGTCATAGAATTACTGGCTGTTTTTTGTATTTATTTTTGTTTATAAGGTAAAAAGTCCTTGGGCTGAAAATTTCTTACTTTTATGCATTTAAGGGATTAAAAGTACCCTTTTAATCCAGAGAATAAATTTCACTTCGTTTCCTGGGGATTCAATTTTTACTTTATTTCCCGGGGATCAAAAGTGTAATTTTAATCCCTCTATAGTACATAAAATAGTATATACACCTCAGGACTAAAGTGTTTTTGATTCTCTCGGCAAATTTCTCAAATGTCTCAGGATTAAAAGTACCACTTTAGTCCCTAGGTATATAACATAGTATTTTAACAATATTCAATTTAAAAAAAAATGGCAGCTGGAAAGTAATCTTAAGGACACTTGGTATGGACAGGGTATTTGATTATATTTGGACCCATACCTACAGCCTTTACTATTTAAGATGAAAAAAATGGTAAATATGTACAAAAATTGACAGTTTTTTTCTATTTTTTTTTAACGTTATCAGAAAAAACAAAATCGCATCGGAAAATGGAGAAACGTAGGCAACTTCGACTTTTTTTGATGGAAGAAAAGATCATTTTATCGCATAATATACAGGGTGTTGTATTAAAAAAAGTTAAAGTTGTCTACAATTCTCCATTTTCCCATGCGATTTTGTTTTTTCTGATAACGCCAAAAGAAAATATAGACAAAAACTGTCAAGTTTTGTATTTAAATTTTTTTTCTATCTTAAATAGTAAAGGCTGTAGGTATGGGTCCAAATATAATCAAATACCCTGGACAGGGTCTGTTCCGTATAATTAGTGCGGCTTCCACAGCTTGAACAAAAAAAAAAGTTAAATACAAAAGTTGTAGGGTTTTATTTCTATTATATTTTGCAAATGTCAAAACGGGCAAATGACAGTTGCCAACTGTCATAATGACATTTTTTTAAATGGAACATCCTGTATATTTTTGGCTAGAATGATAGATTTTTTTATTCTGATTCCAAATATACCGTATAATAATGTTGATATTTGGTTCAACTGTTTTTGCGGTATTTAATTTCAAAATTGCATTGAGCAATAGCTTCATCATTGATATAAAAAACCGGGACAGACCTAATTTAGAGTAATGTAAATAATATGTACATTTTTATCAGAAGAAAAAAATCTATCATTCTAGCCGAAAATATACAGGGTGTTACATCTAAAAAAATTCTAACAATGTTATTATGACAGTTGGCACCTATCATTTGCCCAATTTGCAAAAGATAATAGAGATAAAACCAGGGTTGGCAAATATCATGATATTTATATAAATATCCAATTATCCGATATATATCGATATATATCAGATATACACTCACCGACAGAAAATTCGGGACAATCAAAATTTAAATCAAATTTGATGTAGGATAACTTTTTCTTCCATAGTCCGATTTCAATCTTTTTTTTTTCATAATGTAGATAATTGTTTCGGTTTTAATTAATTTTATTCAATTTTCAAAAATACAGTTTACATGGAATATACCAGGAAAATAAAAAAGTATATTTTTTCTCTTAACTTTGTAACACTCTGTAGAGTAATTTTGCGTTTTATCGGTCTTGGTATCTTTATCGGTTTGGAAGATATGAATTTTTGAAATAAACATTACACTTTTTGATCAAGTCTAAATTTTTGAAATAAACCTCCACTTTTTGATCAAGTCTATTTTTAATTGAAGCATGGAACTAGGGGTTTTAAAAGTTAGTACCTCGTGTTACCTCCTCTTGCTCTTATAACAGCTTCTAAACGTCGATTCATTCCTCTAATCAGGTTTTGGATTTCCTGTTGTGGAATAGCAAACCATTCTTCTTCCAAAGCATTTCGGAGCTGTTGGAGAGTGAACAACCTGTCCTCGGCGTTTCCTAATTCGTCTACCTAACATGTCCCATACATGTTCTATGGGATTAATGTCAGGACTACGAGCGGGCCAGCGCATAACGTTTATTCCAACCTCTTCTAAATATTGGGCCACTATTCTGTTCTGGCAGTACCTATGTGGACGGGCATTGTCATGCATGAAAACGAATTCGTTGCCGATAAATTGTGCAAAAACAACAACATGTTCTCCCAGAATTTCGTCAATGTAGGTATCTTGGGGCAGGTAATCTTCGGTCAATAAAAACAAGTTCAGTTCGAGCTTCAAACGAAAAACCGCCCCATACCATTATCGATCCACCATCAAAGCTAACCCTTTCGCTGAAAGTACATTGGGCGAATCTCTCCCATTATCGTCTCCATACTCTTTCTCGTCCATCAGGTGACCTCAGGCAAAATCGAGACTCGTCTGAAAATAGAACTTGCCTCCACTCTTGAAGGTTCCAGTTAATGTATGGCAGATATGCTAGGTGCTACAAAATCTAGCGTGGGAAGAGCCGTAGCAAGGTATCGTGAGACTGGAAATTACAGTAGAAGACCTGGATCTGGAAGAAATCGCGCTACTTCCGCCCTTGATGATCGCTTCATTAGACTCTCGGCTTTAAGAGATCGGCATACGAGTGCAGTAGTGATAAGAAATGACCTCGAAAGAGTTCGTCAAGTTGCTGTCAATGAAATAACAGTGAGAAGAAGACTTAATTAAAGGCAATTTACGGGCCAGAAGACCGGCAACTGGACCAGAACTCCAAAGACAGCATCGAGTTAATAGACTTCTTTTTTCCCAAGAACACATTAACTGGAAGCTTCAAGAGTGGAGGCAAGTTTTATTTTCAGACGAGTCCTGAGGTCTCCTGATGGACGAGAAAGACTATGGAGATGACAAGGGGAAAGCTTTGCCCAATGTACTTTTAGCGAAAGGGTTAGCTTTGGTGGTGGATCGATAATGGTATGGGGCGGTTTTTCGTTTGACGCTCGAACAGAACTTGTTTTTATTGACCGAGGAAATTTACTTGCCCCGAGGTACATTGACGAAATTCTGGGAGAACATGTTGTTGTTTTTGCACAATTTATCGGCAACGAATTCGTTTTGATGCATGGCAATGCCCGACCACATACTGCCAGAATAGTGGCCCAATATTTAGAAGAGGTTAGAATGAATATTATGCGCAGGCCCGCTCGTAGTCCTGACATTAATCCTATATATAGAACATGTATGGGATGAGACATGTTAGGTAGACGAATTAGGAAACGCCGAGGACAGTTGTTCACTCTCCAACAGCTCCGAAATGCTTTGGAAGAAGAATGGGCTGCTATTCCACAACAGGATATCCAAAACCTGATTAGAGGAATGAATCGACGTTTAGTAGCTGTTATAAGAGCAAGAGGAGGTAACACGAGGTACTAGCTTTTAAAACCCCTACTTCCATGCTTCAATTAAAAATAGACTTGATCAAAAAGTGTAAGGTTTATTTCAAAAATTTAGACTTGATCGAAAAGTGTAATGTTTATTTCAAAAATTCATATCTCCCAAACCGATAAAGATACCAAGACCGATAAAACAGCAAAATGTTGAAAATGGATCAAGCTCTCC